AGAAAGCTGGCTATTTTACAAAAGAAATTGTTCCTGTTCTTGTACCTTCTAAAAAAGGTAGGTGCGAATGGATAATGATTTTACAGAAAAAAATCTGTTTTCTACTATGTCTCTTATAAGCAGTGGATGGTTTCCCACTTACACAGCCTTTTCTGTAAGCTGTTCTGTAAGTGTGTAGCCTTTTGCTCTCTTTTTCACCTTTCAGTGGTTATTTTTTAGATAAGAGAGAAGCAACACAAATGTGGAATATCTAAGTGTAGCTCTCTGCAAATACTACTACTATGTTTTATTGGAGATGTAATTACTACCCAGGCAAACTGCTGACTTAACCTAGGCTTGGATGAGGTACAAAAATCAGTATTTTTCATTTCGTTGGAGTCCTGCTGCACCAAACTTAAAACAGTCACGTTGATCTGGCAAACCTTGCCACCTAGTAAAATATGCAGAGACAATAATTAGGGTTACTAGTTAATTAACTAGGTTAAGTTACTTATATTAGGTGTGCTTCTTTTCAGGTCTGTTAGGGATATAAACAGATCTATTATGGTGCTTGAGCCAAAGGTCTGTTTCTAGAGCAGGGGAATTCCCCCAGCTCCTTGTGAGGTGGATGCAAAAACTGAATTTTCCAAACAGAAATCAAGAATCAGTTGTTCAACATTTACATTGAATAGACCCCGTGGGAAAAGTTCTGGCATTAGGCTGGTTACAAACGAATGAAGGGCTTTCCTGGTGCCAGTTTAGATAATAATAATTAATGACACTTGACTACTCTTTGCGACAAGATTCCTACAAGTATCATTTGGGAGATAGCCTTCTGCTTGGAAGAGAAGCTACTGGCTTAGGAACAGCAAGAATAAGATCTGCTTTTGTACAACTAGACAGTATTTTAGTTGCTAGTGTTTGTCTCAGAAAACCCAGAGCTGTCTGTCCTGCTAGAAGCAGCTGGAGGGTTAGAGCAATTGGTTAAACTGCACTGAGTCAGAAGATATCTCTGACACAAGGATGGCTTTTTGGTTAAAAGGAATATGGCATATATTCTCGATCAGCCTGTTGTTTGTGGTGGCTTTCTGTTCAAGACGTGTCTGTGTGTTTGGACCCTCCTGCAAGTATAACGCTCTGTTTTGCAGGTCCTATAGAAGTTAAAATGGATGAACATCCTCGACATGGGAGCAACTTGGAAACAATGGCAAAGTTAAAGCCCTGTTTCCTGACAGATGGAACTGGGACGGTAACAGCAGCTAATGCTTCAGGTTGGTCCATCTGGCTAAAACCAAAATGGAAAACAGTAGCTGCTTGTGGCTCAAGGCAGGGTCTCTGCGAGGGGTTAGGCTGCCGTGTGGTTACTGCTGAATATATCTTGCAGGAAATGGCAACGTGTTTGACAGCGTAGGTAGAACTTGAATATAACTGTGGTGGAGGAATTCTTTAACAATGAGTTGTCTTTTGCTTGCTTTCTATGAAGCAATACAAGTGTTTGGATAACAGCAGCAATATTTGGTAGGCTGAAACAAATAGAAACTACATCCTCTGTTTCTAAAACTAGCTGTCTAGTGGTTTCTAATACTGCAGGTCTGGACAAAGGAAAACTTAACAATTCATATTTGAAAAATGTTAGTCCTGTGGGACTAAGTCTCCTACCTCAGGCAGCTTTGAAACTTCTTCCTTGGTCCTCATGCTGCCTCTTCCAAAGTCTACTTAATAAATCTGATGTGGTCCTTTTTCACATTTGCCTCAATTCTTACACCTGTTGGTTTCCAAAGAGAAATCACAAACGTCACATTTACGGCAGTATAGATATGTTACCCATTTTAACTGTTTGTGTCAGAGGTCAGACTTGGCTGATCTGAACAATACTGACCTAAACCAATAAAAGATGTGCGATTTTTGTTTTGTGTAGGATGTGAACAAGCAGGAAAAGGTGGTACAGTAAAAGCCATAAACCCAAACAAATGCATACAAGTTTGTCATTCCACAGGTATAAATGATGGAGCTGCAGCTGTAATTCTAATGAAGAAATCGGAAGCTGCTAGGAGGGGTCTTATGCCTTTGGCTCGGATTGTATCTTGGGCTCAGACAGGCATAGATCCATCTATAATGGGAGTAGGGCCCATTTCAGCAATAAAGCAAGCTGTAAGTAATTATCTATGTATCTATTATTTAAAAAATCTTGCTTGTAATTACTTTAATTTCCTGGCCATGAGTTGTTTTTTCAATATTCTAAGGAAAATTCAGTAGAAAAAATAAACTAAGTGAAAACAAGACTTAAAATAGGGGAGCGAATGTAAGATTAAGGGTTCTAGTGCTACCAGGCTAGTGCTTACTCATTGGAAAAAAAAAAAAAAGTATAGGTCTATGAATAGAGTTCAGAGCATTAACTAGGCGGGTTTGTGAAAGGCCACCTAGATAATCTGTGAGGCTAAAGATCAAGTCTCATGGATGTGTATGCTAACCTAATTTGGGGATGATTTGGTCCTGCCGCGATACCGTTCTGATGCTGTCTGGCTGGATTAATTTCAGATCACTGCCTGGTTGTATTTGCAATAGTACAACACTGAGAGAAGGGTCAGTGAGTGCCTCTGCCTTAGCAAATGTGATGGTGCCCTCTGTGTTTTAGTTTGCCCTGTGAAAGGGTTGGAGCACGCGAATTGGACTCCTTTCAGATGAAACTAAACAAGAAGGTACGCTCCAGAACCACATCTAATGTGCTCAGACCATTATTGCACCCACTAATGCGCTCTGTGTTCAGTCCACAGGACAAGGGTCTCAAATAAAATGCTCCACGTGAGCAGCCCCTATGGCACCACACTGCTTGCTAATACAGACGTAGCCCATGGCAACCCCAGCTGGTTATATTAAAACAGCTATGAAATTGAGCATGAAAAGAGCTCTTGTACAGCTGATAAGGATAGATTTGCTTTTAGTATTCCTTCTTAGTTTTATTTATACTGTGAAGGCCTTGTTTTGTTCACCTCTGAAATGTTCTGGCAATGTAGAAGCCTAACTTGAACTCACCCAACCTCTGTGGCTTTTCATGAGAAAAACTGTAATGCTGAAGCTTTGTCTTACCAGATCTCAAACTGTTCTTTTACATCAAGAATGCTATAAACGTATACACAATACACAGTTTTAGTTTAACTTGTAGAACAGACAACCTGTATTTAACAGTACCTATAATTTTATAGGTACTTTGAAAAAGGGCACACTACTTCATGATATAAGCTTTGTGTGTTATCAAACACTTCACACCCTCCATGTATTATCAGTATATCTCTTCAGAATTTCATAGTAGCACTTCACAGTGAAAGAATGACTAGGCCATGCATTTTAGCATTACAACAACATAGTAAATCTTAAAGACTTTTCCCAGAAGGTGAATGGATTCCATACTGTCTCTACTGGACAAACTACACTTGACACCCATCACTAATCATCATTTCACTATTTCCTGTGTAAAAATCTGATGAAACCAGACTTATGTCCTGAAAAACTTGCTCTTGTATCTGTTAAAACCTACTTTTGAAAACAGTGCTTGTTCTATTAAGGGCGCTACATACAGTTTGATTCCCACAATTGCAGCACCACTATGTATGTAAAATGAATCAACATTTTTTAAGAGCAGCCAGCATTTTATAGCACACTGTACTGACTTCTGCCAACACTGAAATCCTGTCTGTTGTCTTCAAGAATTCTGTCATCAACCCTAGCTATAAAAAATTTTGTTTCCTTCAACTTGTTAGAAGTGGTGGTTTCAAATCACCAAATTTGTTTTACAAAAAGCTTCCTCTGGTGCTGAGGAAGACCTAAAAGGTAATAAATAAAGCCTCTCTATATTTTGTTTTCTCAGATTGACAAAGCCAGCTGGACTCTGGAACAAGTTGACCTGTTTGAAATTAATGAAGCCTTTGCATCGCTATCTGTTGCAATAGCAAAAGAACTGAAAGTAAATCCAGAAAAGGTAACGAGTATGTTTGAGGCCGTAATTAGTTTGCCTTCTGTAATTTGAAGTTGTTCCATTCTGTGCATCTGGATTGTATTCCAAAGAGGCAAGGAGGGTCCTCTTGCAATCGCTTTGCCATAAGCAAAAAGGATGGGAATGCCAGTAGGCATTTCTGTATGCTACTCTGCTGTAGCCTGGCTTTGCTGGCAGGCACATCCTTTCATAGCTGAACAGCCTAAAACCGCGTTACAGTGCATTTGTATGCAAAGCCAGGTAACTGCTTGAGCATACTTGTAATTAACTTCAGCAGTTGAACTTGCTGCTGGAAGTGTATTTGCCACTGTATCCTTCCAGTGATGGCAAAAAATGCGGTCATTACCCTCCCCGCCCTAAACATGCCTTGATTATCACCTGAATTATCTTCAGAGAGTAAAGATGGGCCCCTTTCAGAAGAAATACTAACAGCTGTTGCATCCATGTCCAATTTCTCCTTGAAATGGAGGTAGCAGTTTCAGGCTTATTCACAATCAAGGACTATATCCAGTGAAGTCATTCACCTTGAAACCAAGCTAAGCCAGTGAAATGATTTCTTAACTCAATATTCTGTATTGGCTTTTTTTTTTTTTTTTTAGATTAATATCCAAGGTGGAGCTATTGCTCTTGGCCACCCTCTTGGCGCCTCTGGTTGTCGCATCCTTGTTACTCTTCTACATGCCCTGGAACGAACAGGTGGAAAACGTGGTGTTGCTGCTCTCTGTATTGGAGGAGGAATGGGAATAGCCATGTGCGTCGAGAGATGAACGTTAATGAATGAATGAATAGCAAGTGTTAACTAGCTTTGAAACAGTTTACTAATAAACTTCTAATCAAGGAGCTTACATCTGTTTGTTTTGCCTAAAATTAAACAATAAGCTTACTCCATTACTTTTTGCCACTCAATCACTACCTTGACAAAATGGTTAGTGGCTACTGCAGGGGCTCTAGTTATTAGCAGACACTAAAGCTTAAATTCTCAACACAAGTACCAACCTCACTTCCAAAAATTAATTTGTTCACAAGAAAATAGCAGCAGCATTCAACCACTTGTTTTATTAACATCTTAGTTACAAGAGTGGGAAGTGTAAGTTAGACAAACATAAATAAAACCTAAGTTATTCTTCAAGTGCTCCAGAGTGAACTGCATCCTCATAGCACCCTCTCTCTTCTTTAGTTTCAGGGTGCAGTTTAATAAGATCATCAATTCGAAGAATAGTAATTGCAGCTTCTGTTGCAAACTTCAGGCTCTTAGTTTTAACCATGGTTGGTTCAAAGACACCAGCTTGCTTGTTATCACGAGGTTTCCCATTGATCAAGTCAAGACCAATCCTGCAAATAAGAAATAGTCAGATGGAGAGGTAGAAGAAGCAGAAATACAGCTGGGAGTACGCTTTCTAACTACTACTAGGTCCCAGTGACACATGCGTAGGACTGAAGGACAGAGGGAGAAAAGTTCAGTGATAACCTACACCCTTTTTTACATGCAAATCATGATTCAGTAAACAGGCAGAACAATTTTCCATCTAAGTCACCAACCCACTTGGCCTTCCTACAGACAGATACTTGCCATTTCAGATTTTTGCGATCTGGGTTAACTTGAGCCTCATTGTGGAATGCTCTCAACTTTGCAACAAGATCTGTCGCATCTTGAGCGGCATTTACTGCCAATGTGTTTGGAATTATTAAGAGGGATCTTGCAAATTCCGCTATTGCAAGTTGTTCACGTGATCCCTAGAAAGAGAAAAAAGTTTTTAAACCAATTGCTGCAACAAAAGAGGAAACACTACAGCCATGATGAAGAGTGTCAATAGCAGGTAGGGGTTTTGACATGCAAAACCTATTCTTTTGTCAAAGGAACATCTAGCCTAATTATCAGAGAAAGAATAACTCATCCTCCATTTTAAAGCAGCAGCTTGCATTCTCTAAGATGATTAGGTTTTCATGAACCACAGAACCCACTTCTAGAAGAAGAAAATAATTGCTTGAAAATTCACATTGTCCTAGTTTAACACATGCACACTGTTACTTCTTTGTGCAAGGCTTACCATGCTGGTTGCATAATTTTCAAGATATATTGAAAGTGCTGCCTCTACAGCACCACCACCTGGGACAACAGACTTGGATTCCAATACCCTTTTAACAACACAGAGAGCATCATGTATAGATCGTTCCATTTCATCGCACATGAAGTCATTAGCTCCTCGTAAGATAATTGATGCTGAAGTACGAGCCTTTGTACTAGAGGAAAAAAGGAATCAGAAGTTAGCTGTGTTGAACAGAATATAAACTAAACCTCTTCTTGCTACAATTCTTCTTCTAAAGCCAAGTTCAGTTGAGCCAGATTCTTTCAAAGTTTAAAAGAAAATCTTAATATTGTTATGCACCCTTCCAGCATATGTACATTGTAACTTAGTATTTTAATTTCTAATACACAAGAACCTAGTTTGAGTTTTAGTCTTAGAGAAAGCTACCTGACTATGACAGACAAGACGTTTTCCCATCAAACAGGGGGGAAATGTAACTAGATACTAAAATTTCTCTTCTGCATAGCCATCAAGTGAGCTGATGACTGCCAATGTTACAGTATAAGCAGTCATGTAGCTTCCACACAAGTTCCATGGTCAGATTATTTCATTCACACACAAATGAGAATACAGGAAGCTGAACACTGAGAAGGGATATTGAAGCCGTGGAATAGTTAAAATCCAAGCTATGTTCTTGTTAAACAAGCTGATACTCAAGTCTTCAGGCAGCAGACTGCACTGGCATACTAAAAACTTAAAGGGAAAACAGCATGTGTGTGGACAGTTAGCAATTGTTGCTCTTCTTACCCATTAAAAAAAACCAAAATTCCCTTTGATGAAACACGTGTCCAGCCCCAGCAAAAGAGATTACTGATACTCTCACCTCTAATCTGCAGTGGACTTGTATACTCTTTCCCATGCATATAACTACTCAAACCACTGAGATAGCGTGGAAGTAAATAAATGGGATTTTATCTCAAACGTAGTGGAAAGTGTATACAAAACTGAGTATTTTAAAAAGGATCCTTACTTCTTGATTAGAATCAGCTCATCGTCACAGATTCTCTCTTGAATCACCTCTTCCGCCTGTCCCAGCATTAATGCCTCAAAACTCTCCTCACCTTCAAGGTTTGCAAGGGTCGAACAAACAGTTGCTTTAACAAAAAAAAAGTGAAATTAGCATTCAATTCCAGCACATCCTTTGCTGACTTCCCAGAACAGGCACAGAGGAAGAAAAATAGGAATTGAAAACAGAAATACAAGCAGCCTAAGCAGGTTTTTCTTAAATTCAACAGCATTTCTCAGCAATTCAATATTCCACAGTTTATAATCCATACTGTTCTTTTTGCTCAACTTCTACAGCACGTACTTTTCCACAGCTAGTACAGGCTCCTGTGCTTTACCATAATGAAAATGCTTTCTTGTAAATTTAAGAATTGACAGATAAAAATCTGTCAAGAACCAGAATTTTTTTCAGTATGTATTTAATGATTAGATAGTTCAAGACACATTAATAACTCCTAAAACAATGTGCTTAACACAACTCTCCAAACAGAGGCTTATCAATGTGTGCTTAATAAAGACTTCTAAGTAACTACAGATTCTGGCTCCCATTTCCACAAGAGGACAGTCTTCCCAGTGCAAGGCACCATTTTTTTTTTCCCCACTGTAAATCTTCAGCAGTCAACTCTTACAGTACTCTTCTACCTTGACAGAAGTCCCTTAAACGCAACAGTGAAGTTAAAACCTTAGAAGAGTGGCTCAGCTCTACTCATCCTCCGCTTGCATGGCTTGCATGTTAAGAAGCCATATTTTGAAAATTAGTTACTAATACCCTAACAACAATTACTTTAAAAAAGAGATATTTTTATATATACAAACCTCCAGATGCCTTAGCAATCCGTTTAAGGTCCTTTTTTACAACTCTTCGTACTGCCATAGCACCAGCATCAACGAAATACTTCAGACACATATCATCAATACCTCCAGTGGTGAGAATAACATTGGCACCAGTGGCCAAAATTTTCTGGATCCTTTCTTTGGTAATGTCCGACTCTCTGAGAGGATAAAGACAAAGTTCTAAAAATGTGTTTAAAAACCTACAATCACATTCTGTCAACCCATTTTCTGAAATTTTAACGCAGAGCTCTGCAAGAAGGGACCGTTGCACAAACATACTTGGATTTCTTGAAGACTCACCTAATGCTAGTTCTGCCTCCAGAAATGAAGACTTCTACCATTAATATTTGGTATTGTTGGGAAATGTTAACATTTAAGACATTTTTACCTCTTGCACTCAGCAAAAATTACATCAAGCCACCTCAACTGAAGAGACCAAAACAAGCCTGTGAAACCCCACTGTCTCAGTTACTCAAGCTTCCACACACCTCTGCCTTATCTGGTCCAGCTTCTCAGGGTCTGAGATAACAACCTGAACACCAAGCTTCATTTTGGCTTTCTGCAGGCTGAAGTCAAGGCATGCAATCTTTGCATTAACTATTCTCTTGGTCATGCCTGATGAGAGGAAACAAGAAAGAAAAAGGATTTTGTCAAATTGAGTTAACAGAACATCAAGTTAGCATTAGAGATTAAAACTAACATTAACTTCATATTTCAGATTTCTATTCAGTTTGCTTCTTCACTTCCAGTTCTGCCCTACAACAGAAAAATCCTAATAGACTTTCACAGAAAGGATTTATTTTTTTTAAAAGTCTCTTCTGTAACCTCTGTTACCTTTTTACAGACTCCATCCCCAAAATGTGAATGACCACGAAAATCTGACAGCCTCGCATCTGTTACGTTACTTAATCACAACACAGCTGTGCTAAACGTTAACCGTTCCCTACAAACCTGACATTGGCTCCCCACAAGGGAGGCATTTATGTTCCAGAAGATCACAGCATCATGATGCTGCTACCGAGCTAGGGAAACTATAGTCACTCACCAACACTTTGCATATCACTACTAGCCGGCAGACCCTAGCTGAGAAACCACTGCTGAAGCAGTAAGGTTTTTTTGTGTTTTTGTTTAATTTTTCTAGAATTGAAAACCCACGATTTGCTACTAATGCAGTCAGTAAGAAGATCCATGCAGAAAGACTAAGAGGACTGAGTTCACATAAAAGCTTTATGAAACATAGCACATTCTTACCCTGTGAGCCCACCACGCAGTTCAGAGCGTAACCGTTCACAAGTATGCTCTCTTTTTGGCTGCGGCCATGTGCCTTCAAAACATTAACTGAGTTGATTGGATACCGAGCCTGACCTTTCTGGTCTGTATATTTAACTGCCAGTGCAGCATCCACCACCATATTAGCAAAGAAATCACCATCACTAAAATGTTGTTAAGGTTAAAACTGAAGAAGAAAACTAGTATTATGCTGAAGAAAAAAAAAAGTCACTGATAGTGCCCAAACTAGGAGTCAAAAACTGATTCCAAAAAACAAACTCCAGAAAGGCATGGAAGTGCTAGCTTTCTTTACCATTGCCTTAAATGAACGAGAGTAATTCTTAAAGCTGAAACACTGCTAAGAAAATTAGGACAGGCTAACGTGATGTTTGCATTTTACGCACCTTTTGCTCCTTAACAAATATACCTATCCTATGGTCAGTCTGCATTCCCTTGTTAGTGCAAAAGCTAAAAAATGCAGGTTTTTCTGTGACTATCGAGTAAAATGCAACCTTCTTTCCTCTAGTTTCACTCACCAGGTACTTGACATTTGCAACAGGTTCTTCCATTCACACAATTCCTTATCTAGTCTTGCTAACACACCATGTTGTAAGGAAACAATACACTGTTAAAGCTACTGTTACGTGCCTAACCAGGTTTAAATAAATTGGACGAGTCTGAACATGTTTTCCCATGCCACATAACAGCATCTGTGAAATATTTTTCACACCCCTCTTATAAAAACAACAGCTTGCATACTATACCCCATTCATAAAAACTGCTGTGAAAGAAACTAGCCTAGCTACTCAGGCTCTCCAATCCCTCTCACCTAACTAACTTGATCAAATTAAAGGATACATTCCTATAATTTTAGAGGACATCGATGTTTTAGCAGCATTAATTAGGCACTCCCTGCCCAATTCATCTGTGTTAATAATAAGATTTTCATTGATGTAGCGAACTGCTTCCCTGTAGAATAAAGACAAAAACTGGTAAAGAATTCCACCCCCACAAAAAGACAAAAATCTTACATGTTTTCAGCCCTTCTAAACGTTACCTCAAGGAACACAGGGATGAAATCGACTCAGGTTCTAGGACGGGAACGTGACATTTTTATGGGATTACAGAAACACAAAATAGAACCCCCCCCAAACCAAACCAACCAAAAAAACCGACACACCCCCAAATCAAAACACTATATCCACTTTGCACCAAGAAGCCTGTATTAACACAGACACAAATACAGAAATAAACAAAAAGCATGCACTTATTGTACCTTAAAAAATGCAACGTACTTCAACTGTATTAGTTTCTTACTTGCAAGCAAGTCGGTATCCACCAATAATGGAGGTAGGATGAATTTTCTGTTTCACAAGCTCATCTGCATTTTTTAGAAGTTCTGCAGCAATAATTACCTGTTTGAAATACAAACATTAAATACATGTATTCTATATGAGCAAAATAACTATCTATTGCCATTAAGTGGAAAGTAGAATCACAAATAGTTGTCCAACGTCTACTTGGCAGAAACAAGTACTTGCAACCTAGAATTATACCTGCTTATATTCAGTCAACTGCAAGCTTTTTTTATTCTGTATGTATAATTGTTCAACACTGCATCAAGATTCATAACAGAGAAATTAAAAGCGGCATTGTGATAATGAAACACTGACTTTTGGTGTACCTGACTGTAAACCTTTCTACATACCACTGAGGTTGTCCCATCACCAACTTCTTTGTCTTGCAGATCTGCCAGCTCACAAAGAACTTTTGCAGCAGGATGTTCCACTTCTAGCAGCTTCAGAATGGTTGCACCATCATTAGTAATGGTCACATCCTAATTTTCAGAAATCAAATGTTAATACAAAGTATATATATGTTATGTTTTGACTAGTGTGTTTCATAACATTCATACAAATGAAAGTTAATTATTCTTCACAAATGTCCATAAAATAACTATTTATACCAAATGTTTACTACTTCTTTTTAAACAGGAGTCCCATTCTACCAACAGAAATGTTACCAGCGCAGAACCGGCACTTTCATTTTATCAGAAAAGTCTTTGTTACAGAAGCTCATCAAACATTTCGCACATACCCCCTAACACAGTATTTTATTACAACAGCTTGTAAAATGGCAAACTTTCCTCATCTGCTTGAAATATTTTAAAATACGAAATACTGCTTTAAAATTGTTATAGGATTAATTCTTTTGTTATTTCTCCTAATGTGGAGACCAGGACATACAAGTCAACACCACCATAAGGCCTGACTTTGATGGTGATGTTCATTCCTGTGAATTTGACCAATACTTGTAAGCGGTGACAAGAACTTACATGTAGAAAAGAGACAACTGTACCACATAAACTACAGTACCAGATTAAACTAAAATGATGTAGCACACATTACCCGATGCTCAATTTTACCACAGTTCTCCTCCTACCCCGTCTCAAAACCATGGAAAAAAACCAGGCACGTGCACATTAAACCTATGAAGCACACTAAGCGGAAGCACTTTTACACAGGAATACAAGTCCTCCTGACACTTCTTAAAGAAAGCTTACTTACCCCAATATCATCCACCAACATCTTATCCAGACCAACTGGCCCAAGAGAACTCTTCACAATATTGGCAATAGCAGATGCAGCAGTAACTGCATAAATGAAAGAAAAAGTTTTATCTTTCCAACTTGAAGGTGATTCAGGTTTACAAGAAAATATTCCAAGAACCTGGAATTCAGAAACTTGAGATAAAGTGACCTAATTTAGGATTAGGTTTCTGCCTAGCTAAGCTAGTAATAGTTTGCTGCTATTCAAAAATACAATCTGTGCCAAACCTCACTCGTCCCTCCAAGCTGGTAACACTAACTTATCAGAAAAAAAGAATAGTTTTCTGCTGGCTTGGTAAGATGGAGGACACTACTGAGGTCAGAAGAGCAGTGGTGGTAACTCAGTAGAGGTTGGTAGCACTGTTTCTTTTGGCAGCAGCAACTCATGGCTTGAAACTTCACTCTCATTTACTCCTCAGTGCTAGGCAGATACAGAACAATGGTATCACCATATATCAATTAGTAACATATTTTTTAGTCCCAACTAGGTCCGTGACTGAAACAAAACACTTCTTCCGTAACTAAGTCAAGGAAGTAAAAAATGACCTTTTAGTCACAACTAAAGTAACATGAAACCTCTAACACAGTTGCTTTTTTAAAGGATGTTCTGCCAATTTCATATAGGAAAAAGATACAATCAACCTTTTCCTTCAGACCATGGCAAATTTTCCTTTATCCCACAAGCATAGCCACTTAATCTGGAAACTGAAAAAGTGGTAGTATAATGGGAATAGTTACCACTCAGACCTTCACTCTGAACTCCAAACAAAAGTAACTATTTCTTTGGCTTTAGAGAACTAATGGCAGCTTTCTGAAAGAAACAACCGTTGTACCAAAGGTGCCATTGTCAAGTAGAATCTCAACCGCAGGCTAAGGTAATTTTCATTCTAAGTGTTCCACCTCAAGTATCATCAGAGCTGCGCGACTGTCGCGATCATCAGGAAGCAGGTCTTCAGCTTCTTCCTTTGTCTTTTATCTACTCAGAAACTGAGATCAGTCTCGGAATTTGCAGCCTTCCCCCGGGACTCGACATAAAATCCTCAGAAACGTGGAACGTTTTTGAGAACTACAGCTAAAGACCCCCACCTTCAGGACGGTCCCCACCTTCAGAAGCAGATTAGTTCCCTGCGCTGTTGACCAGTAAGCTTCCCCGGCCGCGCCTTCACCACCAAGCCTCCTCAACCAGTCTGCAGGCCTTGCCGGCTCAGGCCCTACGAGCTCGGGACGGAACCGAGCCGGCCTCTGGTCACCTGCCGCCCCCCCTCCCGCTGGATGCTTCTCCCCAGGAAGGGGGGGACGGGACGCGGGATCACTTCGCCACCGAGACGCTGGGGAGCGGCGCGGGATGGCGCAAGCCTCTCCTCTCCTCCTGGGCGCTGCGGAGAAAGAGCAGTGCCACCCCCCACCACCACCCCCCGGGCTCCTAGCGGCTCGGGGCTGAGGGAAGCCGGCGGCAGGGCGAGACCCTTCCCGGGTGGGAGCAGAGCCGGGTGAGCACATGGCGGCGGGAACGGCCGCGCCATGTTACCTCCTTGCCGCCCCTCCCTCCACCGGTCATCAAGCCCCCGCCGGCAGCGCGCGGCCGTTACCGTTTTGCGTGCGGATCGTGTCGCCGCTGGTCCGCTCGCCGAAGACAGCCAGGGGTCCCTCCATCGCCGCCATCTTCCCGCCCGGCCGCCGCGCCAAGCCCAGCGGAACGGCAGCGCGCGGAGCCACGGAATGGCCAGAGGGGCCGCAGGGAACGCTGGGTACACGCCGCCCCACCCCCCACCACGCGGGAGCGGGTGGAGGGAGAGGGGACGGCCCCGCCTGCGCGGGGGGCGGGGCCGCGCCCTGCCCGCCCAATCCAGGCGCGCGGTGCGGCCCAGCCTCAAGCCGCGATTGGTGGGCGCGGTTGAACAAAGCCGCCACGCCCCGGGGGAGTGGGGTGAGGGGGGCAGGAAAGCTTCCAGCAGGTTCTAGAAGGTAGCGCGGGCTCGCGCGCGTGCGCGCCGCATCTCTCTCCTCTCAGAGGAGCGGGCCTGGGCGGAGGAGGGCTGCAGCCGCAGCCGCCGCCACCTTCCCCTCGGCCGAGGGTGCCGGGCTTGTAAGCGGTCGGGATAACCCTGCAGTGGCCGGGGAAGGGGCAGAGGGCTGGGCGGCTCAGCGCCCGCCGCCGCCGTGGAGCTCGGCGGTATCGCACGCCTCCCGGGGCTGCTTGTGCCCGAGTCAGTAGCGGTAGATCCCTGGTCTGCAGCGCAAAAGGCGCGGTTTTGCTTTTAATAACGGTAGGCAGTTTTTGTAGCGGCTCTGGTCTCTCATCCCGTGGCTTTTGAGAGGCACCGGGAGCCCGCTTCCTGGGCCCGCTGCAGGACACATTGCCGCGGTCTCTGCGGTTCGGTGTCTCCTCGCGCCCCTTTTCCAAGGGGGAAAAAACAAATACCATCTCCGAGTCGGGGAAGAGTTTCCCACTTTATCTGTAGAACGCGTCAGACACAACCAGACCCTTCCCTGGGCAGCTTCCCGAGGGGGCGCTGGGCCGGCGCTTCTGCCTGACCTCATCGACTGCGGGCGGAAGTCCTTGAGGCCGGCTTCCGGGGGAAGTGCCGCCCTCGCCAAGATGGCGGCACCCAGCTGCCCGTGAGCGGCGGGCAGGTGACTGCCGCCCGAGGCTGTGGCGGGCACCGGCTCCCCATGGCGCTGAGCAGCCGCAGCCGCCTGCTGCTGGCGGCCGGCGGGCTCCAGGCGCGCAGAGCGGGTAAGCTCAGCCGCTCTGCGGCTCGCCATGCCGGCCCTTCCCGGCAGGGAGGCTCCACGCCGCCCCCCCGCGCCGTGCTGCCGGCGGAGGGATGATCCCGGGGTGATCCCAGGGCTGCTCCGCCGTGCGCAGGCCCCAGTCGGTGCCGGGCTCCCGCTTGTAATAGGCGTTCGGGTTACTGTGGGACTGGGCCGCTGCTGGGGCGCCTCCGGCCGGGGCGGGCGGTCTGACAAGGAGAGACGCTGCCCGTCGCTCTGGTGAGCGGTTCCCGCTGCTTCTCTGGACCGAAAAGTTGTGTAGCAGAGTGACTGTGCGAGCCTGACTCTAGATTCCTCTTTGTTAGGTTAATTAGTGACGATTAGGCTGATAGTATAGAGGATTTTTACCTTGTTATTTGGTAGCGCTGTTATTGGTTCTTTCTGTACTTCCAGTGTTTTGTAAAGCCTTAATGCTAGGGATCTTCTGGTCATGCATGAGTTTATACTTCAAGCGTGAGTTTTTAACCAGTGTTAATATGCTTTTCATTTTTAGCTTACAGTTCACATGATGAATTGCAGAAACAGGTTGAGCTCTGGTAATACATCTATTAAGTGTCTAAAAAAAAAAAACAAAACAAAACCAGGTTTTGCCCTGCTAACTTTTACAGGCTGCATCATTCTGTCTTGTATTCGTTCTACTGTCTGCATTATATATATTTTGTTAAGTCTGGGGGATTTTATGTTCTGTTTTTCCCCAAGGTCTTCGTTTTGCATCAACTACAGCCACTCTCAAAACTGAGACCGAAGCGGACACAAGCGAAAATGAGGTTGTTGCCCCAGACTTCACTAACAGGAATCCTCGGAACTTGGAACAGTTGGCCCTGGCTAGGAAGGAGCGTGGCTGGAAGACAACATGGCCAAAGCGTGAATTCTGGCATAGGTGAGTCAGAAAGTCACCAGCACAAACGAAGACTCCAAAAGAAAACAAACGAACAAGACAAAGCCAAACCCCAGAAACCTGCCAGGTGGAATGTCTACAAAGTGCACTTTTTCAGTTGTTGAATCAGTTGCCCCCTTAGTTGTTCTTAATCAACAGCTATCTTTTGTGCTCAGAGAACAGTAGGCTGGCATCATATCAAAGTTAGCATACATGTTGAAGATCTTTCTGTCTATTGTTAAGGTAGCAGTAATACTGCTTAAGCAACTGCTGTTTAATTTAGGATTATCCTAGTCCTGTGTTGACCATGCATCATTGTTTTATTTGAGGCACTGTAATAGTCAGTTTGGGGGTTTTTTTTTGTTTGTTTTTTAAGAAAATGCTGATTGCTTGTCATCTGGAAAATAAGTTCGTTTTAAGCTGAGGATGCAAAATCATTATTTTGTTCTTGAGGGGAGAACCACATCCAGTTTGTTCATACCTGGAACTCTGATTTTGTCTCAATGTGATAAGAAATAGTTGCTCCTAGTACTCTGTGGTTATGTGTTACGGCTTATGAAGCACTGCTTGACCACTTGCTGATCCTGACAAGTTGTCACCTGCTGTGTAACCACAAGCCTTTCAGAGACTGCGTAGCGAACCTGAAGTTACATTTCTGCTGGAGCCGTTCCCCTGGTCTAGCTCATAAGCACCTGTACCGGACTGTGCAGGTGGACAGTGCTTGGTTTGGAGTGCGTGCTGGCGTGAGGCAGCGTAGGACTGTGCACCTGAGTAACTGGTGAAAAGTTGCTCTTGGAATTTCACTCTGCTGAACTGGTAATATGAGTCCTATTTTATGTCCTGACAAGCAAAACCCTAGATAATAAAAGCAATATCCAGAATTCATTATTATATTAATAGTTCTAGTACATTCAATTTTGTTTCACAAAGTGAGTTACTTACATGTTTAAGCATTTGAAGGTGTTCTCTCCATACATCTGGAAAAGACATCATAATCCCGTATTCTTTCTTTCCTTCACTCAGATTACGGCTTGAGCGGACACAGCATTACGTAGAAGCCTTTGTTGAGCGCTGTAACGGGGATGTTGTGGTATCTGCCTCTACCCGAGAGTGGGCCATAAAGAGACATCTCTACAGTCCCAAGGGAGTAACAGCATGCAGAAACCTTGGCCGTGTAATGGCACAGCGCTGTTTGGAAGCAGGAATCAACTTTGTGAACTTTAAAGCTGTTATCCCCTGGGAATATCGTTGTGACTCGGCAAGTACCCATCTCCTTACGCTTATTTGGCCCTTGTTAAGCATTAATTTTACTCCACCATTAATTTTCTTATGTGGCTTGACAATCCCTGCAACACTCAAAAGGGTAGCTTTGACAAACTGCAGTTCCTGGCATTGTGCTTCAGTGATGCTGTTAACCTCTGCCCCTCCACATAACGTGTCCCCACTGATACTTCGGTGCTGATGGCTTTTCTTTGTATTTATTCTTGTCTCTCTGTCTTTTAAACAAGATTCAGGAATTTGAAAAAGCTATGCAGGAGGGTGGTGTCATTCTGCGTGAGCCACGAAGAATCTATCAGTAAAATGGAGACCGTTGGGAAAACTTTCCAAGGCACGACGATCGCTTTTTTAGGTGTGTGTGCCAGCACAGTGAAGGTCCAGAGCTGGAAAAAGGTGGAACGTGGCATCTTACAATAAAATATTTTTAAATGGACAGAAGCGTGTCATATTCTTGATTCTAAAATTATCAACACCTTTAAGGCTAGAATAAATTGTTACCATAGATCAGCCTGACACGTTAACAGCATTTACTTCAAAATTCAGTAATTTTAAGGTATATTTCATTTTTAATATTTGATTTTGCATCTGTTCTAACCTGACCTCTGGAAATGCTTAGACGTTTGATCCCTGTACACTGCCCGTCTGATTTAGCGAAGTGCAGTCATTAGGTGAATGTTTAGAACTGTAACAAAGTTACGCGCCAAACCTGGTAAAAATTGCATTCCCCGAACGCACCGTTGCAGCTTTCTTGCAGCCCTAACCTTCGAACTGCTGCGCCCTCGCAGCTCTCGGAGGGAAGCGGCGCAACTGCCGGCGGCGGCCGGGAGCGAGGTGCCCCTTCCCCTCTTTCTGCCTCCGCCTGCTGCTCGGCCCCAGGCCGAGGCCGTGTGTCCGTCCGTCTGTCCGAGGGATGGGCAGAGCCCCGTAACCCCCGCAGCCCTTCCCGTTCCGGGGCCGAGCCTCCGCGGCTTCTCGCTCAGCGCCCCCGCGCGCGGCCTGACGCTCCCCCCCCAGTCCCCCTCACCGTCAACCGCGGGTTCCCATGCTTCGGGATTTTTTTATTATTTCGCCTTTTTTTTGTTTTGTTAATCACGCCGGGTTTCTTTGTGTCGGTTTTTTTTAAAGCCGGGTTAAGACCCCCCCCCCGCCGCCGGCGGGGCAGCGCGGAGGCCGGCGATGGAGGTGGGGGCGGCGGACTTCCA